TGGTCGAAGCTCTGAGCAGCTTGCTCTAGCTGGGGATGTCCCTGCTGATGGTGGGGGTTGGACTGGCTGACCTCTGGGGGTCCCTTCCAGCCCAGACAGTCTGTGACTCTGTGATAATGACACAAGTTTGGGAGCAGGCCCCTTCTGCCCAGACAGGCTGCCCCATGAAGATGAAGATGGTTCTGCTGAGGGTGGAGGGCAGCTGCTCCTACACAGCCTGGGCAGCAGAAGGCAGGGCCACGACCTCGGCGTGGGGCTCCAGAGAATGAAACTCCCTGGTGGGAAGAGGAGATGGAGCTGCAGAGACAAGCTGTGGCTGGATGCACACTGCCCATGGCACAGTCCTGGGGACACTCCTGCAGCCTTTGGCAGAGCTGCTCCAACAAGAGCCTGTCAAACACCCTTGAGTATGGGAGCTCCTGCTGCTGAGCATCTCCAGGAACACCAACAAGATGCTGCTGTTTGTTTCACATGAGAAGCTCTGTCTCCTGAGATGTTAAACCACATTTTTTCCCTTTGATGAAGAGCCATAAACCCCTCCCCTGATGGTTACTGGGGGGTTCTGAAGTGGCTTGTGGGTTCCCAGGAGCTCAGGACACACAAGGCCCAGAGCTCTCCCCAGCCAAGCAGCAATGAAACACGCCCAGGTCTCCATGCTGTAGTTATGGGATGTAACACTGCTTGCAAATAGCTTCATTTTTGTGTTATCAAGTAATTTCTGCTCTAGCAGGGGGTGTCTAGGGCTGGTAATGAACACTGAGGACAAAGGTTCTGCCTCAGTGCAATAGGAGTGTTAAGGAGCTGGATTCTTCTTATTCTCAATGGCCCTTTTTGGCTTTGCCAAATTCCTGGAAAACCAGCCAGGCTGGGATAGGGTCTGTGAAAACAATCAGCCATCCAAGCCTTGCTGCAGGCAGCTTTTACCAGGTCCTGGTTTTCCAGTTCTTGTGAATGTGACAGAGGACCAGGGACAGGGTGGGGTGCCTGTTATACACCTTTTTATCTCCATCCTGGTAAAAGAGTCTCCAATGAGATAGTTTTAGCCCAAAATCACATTGGTGGTGTGGATGACTTCAGCAGTAATGATAAAATAGGGTTATTTTGCCCAGAATCAATGACTGGGGTAGAGGGAGATGGGTCAGGTTTTGTTCTCAGTTACAGTGGTCTAAGCAGACACAAAAGGCATCACAGAGTGGTAAAAATGAGCTGAATTTCCTCACTTTAGGGAAGCTAATGTGTTTTCTGCCTGCCTCTCAAATGACCATCTGGCTGGTCGAAAGCCGTGTTCAAATATTGATCACAATGACACTGGGGATGAAGCAACAGTTTAAAAATTAATGTCTCTTTCTCCTGTCCTAACGAGCCCCAAACCTGTGACTGGACTGGTGAGGGCTGGGCAATGGGGTTCTGGGCCCTTCCATCCCAGTCCATGAGGATTTTAGTCCTGTTTAAAATCACTTTTAGGCTTTCACAGCCTTCAGTCACGACACACAACAGCCACCTGCTTGTGCTGCTGATCCTGGTGAGGTCTGAAACGCTGCTGAGGAAGGCTGGGAGTTTGCTGAAGGTATTAAAAAGTAATCAATAATGTGTTCTCATTTGAAACAGCCCCTGACCTGGACGCTGAACGACTGCAGAAGCAGCCTGGTGCTGTTCCTCCAGCATGGGTGGTGCCTGCCCAGCTCAGCCCAGCTCAGCCCAGCTCCTGCAGCAGAAGCTGAACCATCAGTCGTGGGCCAAAAAGGCAACTCTGCCCTCAGAGCCTGGCCTGGTGGGCCCCAGTTCCCCTTGTTCCCCCTGTTGTAGGAACTCTGTGCTTTGTTTGTTAAAAAGAGGGACACCATTTCTCAAGGCACAAAGGCTGCAAAGAAACTCCCCCAAAAAGGTGCTCAGGCCTTTCCTGCTCCACGAGGGAGCACAGTCAGTGAGTGAGTGCAGGCTGGGCATCTGTACTCCCCAGACTCCCTGATCTGCCATCAGCCAGCCCCACAGAAACCAAATGCCACCTAAATGTGGCTCTGGAAAAGCCTTTTTCCTTCTTCCTCAAGCAAAAGTTGCCAGATGCAGTTGTAGATAGTGAACTCAGGGTGGGGACAGTCCCTGTCTAATAGCAGGGGAAATGAGGAGGGATCCATGCCAGAGCTTGGACTCCTGAGCCTACTGCATCCAGCACGGTGCCACCCTCCTACTCAAGCTCCCAAAAACACTTTTACAAAGAGAGGGGTGTGAATGCAGAGAGGACTAGGGGGAGGACTCACTGCAGTTTGTTACTGCCAGGTTTAACGTGCCAGGCTTTTCTCTGAGGCTGCTGCTTCCCACCCCTACGTCGTGCCACTCAGCTGCAAGGTGTTTGCCAGAGGGCACCTCCTTAGGAGCCTTTTGGGCTCCTCAGACCAAGCTACCACTGGCTTCATCAGACATTTAAAGGACACTCTTTAAGCTGGAAGAGGTTCCGAGGCCAAAGGCATCACCAAGCCAACCCAGCACGGGCTGTGGCACTGAGAGCACAGGCCAGAGAGTCCTGCCTCCAACCCCAGCTTGCCACTGAGCAAGGGAGTGTCTTCCAGACAAAATCCCCACCCTGACTCCAGAGGAAAGCATCCACCCCCCTGCTGTACAACAGCACCCCACCATCCCATGCCTGCAGCTGGAGGTGTTAGCTCTTGTCCTTCCAAACCCCTTCCCTTCCTGCCCTCTTTGTGAGGACTGCACTCCCATCACTACTTCACCTTTTCCTGCCTAGATAAAGCTTTGACATTTTCTCACTATAATGTAAATTTCCCAAATTCTCATTATTCTTTTTCAACTTTTCTGAATCCAACCCAGCTTGTGAACAGCTTGAAAAAAATGCAGCTAGGTGAAGTAGATGCTGTGACTCCTGGTTTACTGCAGAGGAGCAGAAACATGGGGTTTATATCCCATAAATCCTCCAAATAATGCTCTCCTTACCTTTCTACCCTACCTCTGCTGTATTTTTTTACCAGTTCTTGGGGCATTGCTGAAATCAGACGAGTATTTACTGCAAATATCTTAATACTAAGAATTTTTACCACATTTTTACTCAGCAGGGTTAAGTTAGTGTAGAAGAGTAGAACTTCTTTAGCTGCTGGATAGCAGGAATGATCTCCAACGGCACCT